GCTACCACTAAGCCACAACCCCAGCCCTAAAAATCATTTTAAATTACAAAAATATCTGGAAAATATAGTTAACATCTTTATGTGGAAATTTTTATTGTTCTAAAATGAATCACTCCATGAGGACTTACGAAGAGCCAGGCTATTACTGTATGTGAGTGGGCAGTAAACAGTTAAGATGAAAATGTGAAGTCCTCCACCATATATAACAGGTTTCTGCTAACATTCTTGTGGAGACAAATGTCTTCAGTTGTGTTTTATACAGACTGCTTGTTCACTGGTTGCAGGAGAATTCAGAGGAGCAGCTCTATTCTTAATGTAAGGGGTGGGAGTTGTTTTTATGGCAGAGTTTAAGGAAGTTTGATTCTTTCTACCATATTGTAAATAGGCCAGGTTTGGAACTGAAATGTCCATCTGAATGTATTTGTTTACCTGTGCCATTCCTGGGTTCTGAAAATCTTCTAAGAGATATCATACTCATGCTTTATTTTAGTAAATACTTATGTGTCAGACATTCCTTTAATTTAATTCATTAAGATAACTTTAAAGATCATAGGTGCCTTCTCAGTCAGAGTGGTAATGCTCGTAACTACTATCAACATTTCCTTTACGCCAAGTATTGTACTAAGTCCTTTCTAGGTTTTATTAATTTTGAAGAAGTGTCTTAGACCATTCGGGCAATCACACAGAATACCATAAATAAAATAAATTTATTCTTCCCAATTCTGGAGGCTAGGACATCCAAGATCAAAGTGCTAGATTTGTGACTGATAAGGGCTCACTGCTTCATAGATTGCCATAGTATGGTGGAAAGGGCAAGGGTGCTCTCAGGCTTCTTTTGAAAGGGGAACAAATCTCACTTAATGAGGACACTATCCTAAAGACCTAATCCCTTCCTTTAGACCATTTCCTCATACTGTCACCTTGGGGTTAGATTTCAACATATAAATTTTGGGAGAACAGAAACGTTGGATAGTTGGAAGGAAGATACGATCTTTCTGTGTCTGTCTCTCTCTCTCTGGTAGTGGTACTGGGAATTGAATGCAGGACACTCTACCACTGAGCTATATCCCCTGCCTTTTTTAATTTTTTTTTTTTTAAATTTTGAGACAGGATCTTACTAATGAGCCCTGTCTGGCCTCAAACTTGGGACCATCCTTTGTAGCCTCTTGGCTAGCTGGGATTACAGGCATTTGTCTGCTTGGCCCTTCTCACATTTCAATTGAGAAAACAGGTTTAGAGACATTAAGCAACTCTCCCAAAAAGTTATTTAAAAAAATATGTTGTAAAAGTGGCTTTTGAACCCAAGTTTAGCACATATCAAAGCTCTTTCTCAGTTTCAGAGCATCCCTTCAAAACTCAGTGAAAGTTTTGCTGGAATGTTTTATTTTAAAAAAGTATATTGCATAACAATTTATTATGATTACTACAGAATTTTTTTTCTATCAGTTTTTATAGCTCTATTGTAGTAGAAAATGATACATGTTTAAAAAAACCCTTTCTCAGCTTCATTTTTTAGACAGCTTTATTTCAGAAAATGAATTTGATCTGATGTGTAGTGATTTTTTAAATAATTGTCAGATTATGTTCATAACATCAGCCTGTGCAAGTTCATGAGGGAGAAAAAGCTCTCAAAGAGTTGCTTTTGCAGGATGTAAATGGAACTGAATTTAAGGATCAGTTGTTTCTTTGATGCTATATTTGAGCTAAAACTATAAAAATATTAATAATAAGTATTGCCTGTGTTAGCTTGGAATTTTTATTGGGAAGTCCATGGAAAAATGGAAAAATACATCCATCATTCTCTATGTTAACAGTTTATACATATCTATAGTTGTGTAGAACATATATATCTTACACGGGTCTAGAAGAAATGAGAGTGATACTCACTGTGTATCTGTCTGCGTTTTATACCACAGCTTATTAATCTAAAATAGCTTATTTACTCTTAGGTTCATGCTGAATATTAATCACAATGTGATAGCATAGTTTATCAAATAGATGATAGCTAGAAAATTCAAGGCATTATTGATTCTTGACATTCATCAAATGGGTAAGTTTTGGCGATAACTTCTTAATATTTTATCAGTACAACTAATTATTTCCTTTAGAGGTTACTAAGGAGATTTTAATTTTTCTCCTGAATGGTGATTTTAAATGGCTGCAGTAGCCATTTTAATGGTACACTGGCACATTGGTGTATTTGGTTTACAAAATTCTTTGAAGTCATTCAGCTTTGTAGTATGATGAGACAGGTACAGGCTCTGGAGTTGAGCAAATGATTTCAAACCCCGCCTCTTTTCCTGACTAGTTGTGCACTCGGACAAGTTGCTCACCCTCCTTGTGCCTCATTCTTTCACCTCACAGTGGTGTCTGCCTTGTTGCTCTGTTACTAGGATTAATGAACTAATACTTAAGTGCATGGCACAAAACAAATTAGACCTAAGTGTCACCTTTTATTGACCCAGATGCTCCTCATCTTACAATGAATTCTGTCTTGATCAACCCTTCCTAAATTGAAAGTGCATCAAATATCCCTAACCTACTGAACATCATGGCTTAGTGTAGTCTGCCTTAAACATACTCACAGCATTTAGATGACTCTGAAGCTGGGCAGAATCATCTAACTCAAAGCCTATTTTATAGTAAGTATTGAATAGTTCATGGAATTTTTTGGTGTGTGTCTTTTTTTGTTTGTTTGTTTGTTTTGGTACTGGGGATTGAACCCAGGGGCACTGTACCACTGTGCTAAATCTCTAAACCTTTTTGTTTTGAGACAGGTTCTTAATAAGTTCTGACAGTCTCGCAACTTAAGTTGCTGAGGCTAGCCTCGAACTTGCAATCTTCCCACCTCAGCATCCTGTGCCACTGGTGTTTCAGGCATGTACCACTGCACATGGTCATGTAACTTTTGAATTCCTGTATTCAAAAAACTTAAGAATTCATGAGCATATTGTTTTTTTAACCCTTTTGATCACATTGCTGGACCTGTCAAATCCAATGTAACTGTCTTTTAAGATGAATTTCTGTGACTAGCAAACCTATGTGTGCAATGAGTTGGTTTTTCCTGATGAAGCAGTAATGAATATTTTGACCACCTGCGAAAATGAATTTTAGACAGAAGGAAATTGATAAGAGGATTTTTCTTTTAGTTTTCCCCACTTCCATAGCAAATTTCAGAAAGAGTATGAATTATATTTTGATCAGATGAATGTCTTGGAGATGAGAACACTGTAAGAATCATTGTAAGCAGAGGAGTATCTGTGTTAACAAAAAGTGACACTTAACATTTAACTCCTCCTCCCGAATGCCTGGCAGTTGATTCCTTTGCTGTCTTTATAGTTTTGCCATCTCCAGAATGTCCTATACATTCCTTTACAAAATTCCTGTAGTTGAATAAGGCAATATGCAGCCTTTTAAGTTTGGCTTTTTTCACATAGTAGTAAAACATTTAAAGTTTCTCCTGTTCCTGGATAACTTATTTCCTTTTAGCTACAAAAATATTCTGTTGCCTTCCTTGCCTTTAATTTGTGTGTGTAGTAATTACGAAGGAGTTATTAGAGTTTTGCTCACTGTTCCTGATTGATAGGTAAACATTTATGTTGAAAAGTTTTATTATGGAGGATTTGTTTGAAGCTCTGTAGAATCCATTTATTTAAAATGTTCAGATTTGCTTTTAGGTAGAGTTTAATTAACAGTTTGTCTGCAGATTAGCCTCTTGCAGGTTGTTCATTGGTTTTCAGTCCTATATTATTGAAACATTGAAAAGGACCATGTAAGTTCGTAGATTGACATTTTGTTTTGTATAGAAACCTCATGTCTGTTTGATTATTGTGAGTTAGAGAATACTATCCTATGCATATGCTAAATCAGATTTTTAGATTTGTACTTAATATTAAGTCTACTGTCATTTAGAGATCCTGATTACCTTGTTATTAAATATATAGCACAGTGGTCATATTGAGTTCCTCTTACTGTCTGTCACAGGCACTAAGGCCCAGGCATGGGGTGTGTCTCTTTCTGTGTCTCTCATCCCCTCCCAAGTGCATCTGAACAAACCTGCATGTATAATTCACCACAGTGCTGTTCCACAGTAATTGTCCTCTCAGAATTTCACTACTCTGAATAGATTTTAGGAAATCCATGCTGTTGCTAATGAGAATTGTTACTCTGGTAATCTTGATTGTTTGATATCAGGGCTTTGTTCATTAGTAGGAGTTTCTTTAAAGATAATGTTCAGAACTTTTTGATGATCAGAAGAAATTTGATTTAATTAAAGGGAGGATAATGCATTGACCTGATATGTAAACCAAGAGAAAAAAATAACATGCTTTCTTTGCCTGTTTTTCCTGAAATGGGGATTGAGATAGCTGCCTGCCTGCTGATGTGCTTTGAACATGTCCCTAAAGTTTAAATAGATCAAGAAATGTCAGAAATGACACATTCGTTATGGGTGTGTAATATTTTTGTTTTCACATGCTTTGGGGAATGAGTGAGTTGTATCTTTTTTAAATTCTCAATTTCTATCAGTATGCTTGCTATGCAGAATGTAAATTTTGTTTAAATAGTTATCTATGTATTTGCTGAATCATTTGAAATAATCTTATGTCTTGCTTCCTGGTGCTGATACTCATTTATTGCCTGTTATTTCAGTATTGGAAAGAAAATTACATTCAGTGATGGAGTAAAGGAAATTACTTGAATATTGTTTTTTGATAGGTAATGAGTTGTTAAACATGCCTTTTGTTTTTTAAACTATGCATAATTTTTCTTTTTTTTTTTTAAATTTTTTTAGATGTATAGACCTTTATTGTATTTATTTACTTATATGTGATGCTGAGAATCGAACCCAGGCCTCACACATGCTAGGCAAGCGCTCTACCAGTGAGCCACAGCCTCAGCCCCTGGACATAATTTTTCTTGTAGATTAAAGCATCTTTTTAAAAAACAAGTGTTAGGGGTTAGGTAAACAGATTTTTATAACTGTGTTATTAAAAAATCAGTTCCTTAGGTGCTGGGAATGTTGCCGACCGGGTTTTAGCTCAACTCTTAACAGAAATGGATGGGATTGAACAGCTAAAGGATGTGACAATTTTGGCAGCTACTAATCGCCCTGACAGGATAGACAAGGTAAGAAAGAAGGTATTGTGGATGTCTTGAAGTCAAGAATGAGATCATTGATTTTATTTGTGTGATTTGGGGAGGGTGTGGAGGGGGTCAGATAACTTTGTAATTAGTTTTTCATTACAGGATATTGGAGGAGGTGAAACAGGTTCCCTGCTCACCTACATGCAGCAGAGTTTTTTGTTTGTTTGTTGTTTCTTATAGACTGGCAGCAGGGGACAGTAGAAGCCTAGGATTCATTGTGAGGCAGTCCCCTAGGGTACAGGGAAGCTGCCTGGGCAGATGGAGTCTCTGTTCCCTGAGAAGCCACCTGTTGTAGGTTCGATTCCCGGGGAAGCTGGTAGAAGACACCAAATAGGAGGACTAGAAACAAGCCTGGGCTGTTGCAGCCTGTCCTTGCCCCAGGGTGTTGCATTCCCAGCACAGCCTTCCTTTATTCTTGGTAACCATAAATGGGAAAAGGGGGCAGCTGGGCTGGTCCAAGGCTGCTGTCCTGTAAAGTATCTTAAATTAAAGGAAAGGAAAAAAGAAAAGCCGTGTGTGTGTGTGTGTGTGTGTGTGTGTGTGTGTAAATTTTTTTTTAACTGCTCATGGTTCCATGTTAATGAAACTCCTTTGTAACTCTGCAGTGCCTTCTCCTTCATTCTTGCATGGAATTTTCATTGTATTTCTCTAGAGAATCAAAGTTTTAAGATTCTGTTTTTTTGTTTTTTCCATCTACTTTATTTATTTTTAAAAGATGTTTTCAGCATTTCCATCTATTTTAATGTAAATTTCTAGTTATGTCATACTAGTTAGATTCAAGTAATCACTACCAATGAGTGCTGGTAGAATAAAATCAGTCTTTAAATAAACATTTACGACATCTTCCTGTAGTGAAATGAATCATTTTTATCACTTTTATAGTCTAGAAGTAGCTATGATGGGAATAAAATAGTTGACAAAAGAATTATAGGGCTGATGTTAAGTTGTAGAGATTTATTTTTAGGCTATTCTAATGTCAAAAGAGATATATATTATAATAATTTTCACTACATTTCATCCAGATGTTTGGTCTTTTAATTAACTAACACATTTTACATTCCTGTTGCCTGTTAACACATATCCCTCTATGCAGATGGTCTTGGGGTGGTAGATTACAATGGGGAAAATTCTTGAACTGTCAGAATAAGATTGATATCCTCATGTTGTCCATGTGTTTTACATATTTGGTGTAGTTTGGGGGATAATATTTGTTTCATATAATCTGGGGAAACTGAAGCTGAAATTTCCTGGGGATTCTGGTGCTGTAGCTAAGGAAGTAAGACATATAGCTCAGAAATCATATTATTCTAGTTCCTGGTATGTCATGTTTACATGTTAAACTCATTAATTGTGATGTAGCACACTGGGCTGAGTGAAGTAATTACTTGTTGTCTCTGGTGGTTTGCTGTAGTCTCCATAGGCCTTTTAGCCCTTCCTCCAGCTTACAGATGAATGCAGAGAAGATGCATCCTCGCATGTCCATTTTGCATAAGAGTAACAGGACGTGACTGGAGAGTTGAACTTTAATGAGATTATGTAGACTCATTAGGTTGATATTAGTATGGATTTCCTAAGCATCAGGAGACTTTAGAACATCAGGGAACTAATTTATTATTAATGCTCAATCATAGTTAAATGTCCAGGCTATTGGAGTTTATAAGGGTTCAATCCTTGACATTTTGTGCGTTGGTGTTGAATCTTTTTGTTTCTTTATGTATTTAATTAATTAATTAATTAATACATATTAGGGGTTGAACTCAGGAGCATTTAACCACTGAGCTACATCCCCAACCCCCCCTTTTTTTGCATTTTATTTAGAAACAGAGTCTTATTGAGTTACTTAGCACCTCACTGAGGCTAGCTTTTTATTATTATTATTATTAATTTATTTTACAGTAGAATGCATTTTGAGATGTTTACACAAATAGAGCACAGCTTCTCATTCCTGTGGCTGTACATGGTGCAGATTCACTCTAGTAGTGTAATCAAACATGTATGTAGGATAATAAGGTCTGTCTTATTCTACCCCATCCTTCCCATCCCCACAGCCCCACCTCTCCCCTCACTCCCCTCTACACAAACCAGAGTTTCTTCATTCTTCCCTATCCACTCACCAACTATGGCTTAGCATCTGCTTATCAGAGAAAACATTCAGCTTTTGTTTTTTGGGGGGATTGGCTTACTTCACTTAGCATGATATTCTCCAGTTTCATCCATTTACCCTCAAATACCATAATTTCATTCTTATTTAAGGCTAATATTCCATTGTGTTTAGGTACCACATTTTCTTTATCCATTCATCTGTTGAAGAGCACCTAGATTGGTTCCACAGTTCAGCTATTGTGAATTGTACTGCTGTAAACATTGTTGTGGCTGTATCACTATAGTGTGCCGATTTTAAGTCCTTTGGGTATAAAACTAAGATGTAGGAAAGCTGTATGAAATGGTGGTTCTATTCTCAGTTTTCTGAGGAATCTCCATACTGCTTTTCATAGTGGCTGCACCAATTTGCAGTCCCACCAGCACTTTATGAGTCTGCCTTTTCCCCACATCCTCATGAAGCTGCCTTTGAACTCATGATCTTCCTGCCTCAGCTTTCCAAGTGACTGGGATTACAAGCGTGCACCACCACGCCTGGCCCTTGATGTTGAATATTAAGGAAAAAAAAGGATTCTGTCTTCTCTGTTGGGTGTTAAACAGGCCTCAACCTAGTTTCAGTTTGTTGAATAATTTTATATTTAGTCTCTTCAGGTACTTTAGAACTTATGCCTACAGTGTAACAGACTGTTTTTTAAAAAGATATTTTTAGTTGTAGATGAACATGATAATTTTATTTATTTTTGTATGTGGTGCTAAGAATTGAACCCAGTGCTTTCTGCATGTTAGGCAAGCGCTCTACTACTGAGCCACAATCCCAGCCTGACAGTTTAAAAGACTCTTAAGAATAGCTATTGTACAAATTATATTTACAGTAGTGATTTTCTTGTAATTTGTAGAACTTTTAAAATTTGATCTGAAGCATTATGGAAAAGATTCCCAAATGAGGAAAACTTTGGAAGTTATGTAGAAGTCTTGAATAATTTGGGATTCAGAATTATTTTTTTGTTTGGCTCATGGAAGGTAATAATGTGAAAAGCTGAATATTGTGCTTGTGCTCATGCACTAAATATTTAAAACCTACTATTTTAGTTTGTTTCAGCTTTAAAATGATGCCAAAAAGGAGGATCACAAGTTCAAAGCCAGCCTCAGCAACTTAGCTAGGCCCTGCCTCAAAAGATAAAAAGGGGTTAGGGGATGTGGTTCATCAATTAAGCACTCCTGGGTTTAATCCCCAGTACCAAAAAAAAAAAAAAGAAAGAAAAGAAAAAGCCAAAATATGTAATTTTCTGATACTTGGCTCTATTTTACCACTGCAGTTTCATGAATTTGTGAGAAAAGAGGTCTCTTATTTGTATTATTTGAAGAGTTGTCTAGTTTTCTTTGAGCCTTTTACTTACATTGTTCTAGGCATAGCTCTTCCCAAACATTAGTATTTCTAGATGATTTTTTTTGAAAGTGCACAGCATTAGAAAGGGGCTTTTATATAACACAAACAGCAAGATCAAGGTAATGACTCTGGAGGAAATGAGATTGACATGTGTAACAGAGGACAGAGATAATAGGGACAGGAATGGCAGATGCAACAAGTGGTAGAAAGGCCTGAATGAGAGACAGTGAGATAGATACAGACCTTGGAAGAGCAAGGCAGGCAGGCAGAAGCAGAGATCACAGTTTCTGATTCTAGCTCTGTTACTAACAAATTGTGTTTTTAGAAATTATTTAGCCTCTTAGTTTTCTGTGTCTATCAGAAATGTTCTAAATAATCTCTGATACATCATTCAAATTATACAAAGACAGACAATAAGAGATTTCAAATGCTACATAAAAGGATGCTGTTTACCAAGCAGGTTTTTGCTTTCTGGTTTTTATTTCAGCAACTACCTTCCCATACTTACTTGTAAAGTTCCTTTCTTCAAACAGATCATAAAACAAGCAAATATCCAGGTGTGCAAAAAGTCACTTTTCTTTGTAGCCATGTAATTTTCAGAAAAACAGGGAACAAGCCATAAATCAGCCTTAAGGCTGGTGTTGTGTAACAAAAACTTTAGTTGACAGTTGAAGAATACTTTGAGTTTTTCACTTAATATTTATTACTCTTTGAAAAAGGAAAACTTGTTAAGCTGCATATTTCTTGGTTCACAGATGTCTGATCAGCCTATAATATTTTGGTCTATTTAATATGCTTTTAACTATTTCAAAAAGCTGCCAAAAAAGTAAAAATAATTTTTGGACTAATTTGGGGAGCTATTTTTAAAGTGCATAGAGAATATTATCAATAATAATGAAGTGCCATTTTCATGTCTGGCATATTTGTGTGTGTGTGTGTGTGTCTCTGTCTGTCTGTTGAAAGGGTGTGTTTCGAAAGTATCAGGGTCATGTAATGAAAGAATGTTCAGTTCCTTTCTTTGCAATACGTATAATCTGATTCGAAATATACATGTAAATTTTAATACATTATAATCATAAAATGTGAACAATCTCAACTAAGTCTGTGGTGCTGTGGTGACATGTGCACCCCAGCAGACGTGGGAAGTTTGGCCTGTGTTGCTCCTGCTGTTTGACATGCTACTTGAGGACTGCCTTGGCATTGCAGTTGCTGTGTCTCAACACAAGATGGTGGTGCTCACCTGAAACATTGTCTGAGTGCAGACCCTGCCTCTCCTCAAAGCTCATCCCCTCTGTTCAGAGGAGCAGCTTAAGGGGATGAGGAACTAGCTTTGCTTTAAAAAGTAATAGTTGAAGTGTGAATAAACACTCAGGCTCAGTGTACAGTTTATTTTAAAATTGATTTCAGGGAATTGTGCAGGATTAGTGCTGCACGTACATGTATCCTCTCTTAGGAAAGTAATGTTTACCATCAGCCAATGTAGTAGTTTTATTTA